AAAAGATATATGTTGTCCTCCCTTACCCCCATAAATCATTGTTAGTCCTGCGTGAATGAGTAACTGTAAATCGCTCAGAGCCAGCAAGCTCTGCAGGATTGGGCGATTAATAAATTGAAAGATTATTATTATTATTATCAGGGAACTTTGCATGGAAATGGGGGGGGGGAAATGATTCTGTAGCAAAGACTGTCTTCCTGGTTCATTCAAGACTCAAGAGGGTCGTACGTTTTAATGGTGTCTCAAACGGAGTTAAAGTTATTGCCCGGCCCATTCTGAAGATTTGAGATGGGCAGCAAAGCAAAACCGATTTCACTAAATCGGGTCAATTTCTCGATCCTTTTCAGACTTCATCCTCAACTCTCAAAACTTAACCCAAGCAGGTTGGTGCAGCAGTCTTTCCAAAAAGTAGGACTGGTGTAGTGTTTAAGAGCGGGGGGACTCTGAGAGAACCAGGTTTGATTCCCTGCTCCTCCACATGCAGCCAGCTAGGTGACCTCGGGCCAGTCACAAGTTCTCTCAGAGCTGTTCTCTCAAGAGCAGTCCTCAAAAGAGCTCTCTCAGCCCCACCGACCTCACAGGGAGTCTGCTTTTGTAGGAAGAGGAAGGGAGGGAGATTGTAAACTGCTCTGAGACTCCCAATGAAAGGCAGGGTATAAATCCATCTTCCTCCTCCTCCTCTTCTGACTCACGACTTACACAGAACTTTGCATTGCAAGATCAGCCTCTAGAATTTTATTTTATCCTTCCCTTTCTCCGAGGAACTCAAGAGTGGCACTACATGGTTCTCTCTTCCCCGTTTTATCCTCACAACAACCCTGTGAGGTAGGTTAGGCAGCGAGAGAACAACTGGCTCAAGGCCAACGAAGGGTTTTCATGGCCAATTAGGATTTGAATCTCGCTCTTCCAGGTCCTACGCTGACAGAATAACCACTACACCGTGCTGGCTCTCTAAATACCTATAAATATTAAACTATAATTTCAGAGTTTGGGGGAGGCCACAGAGAACTCTCCCTCTGCACCCTTGCAATCTGAGGCTGATAAAAAGACAGCATCACTAATAAGCTTGCTGGGGGACCCTGGGCCAGCCACATACTCTCAGCGTGGCCTACCTTACAGGGCTGTTGTGAGGACAGAAAAATGTATGCGGCTTTGGATCCCCGTTGTGGAGAAACGTGGGCTATAAATCAAATGAATAAAATCAGTTATCTCTACAGAAACACAAAGTGCACCAGTTCTGTAAAAGAAAGGATTCGGCTGCTTTCTAAATTTGGGTGGGAAAGAGGAGGGGAGAGACGGAGGGAGATGCAAGAAATCTGCAGACGGTAGCATGGAATTCCTCCCAACCATCTCCTTCTTTCTACCGCGGAGATCTTATAACGGAGTCAGGTATAAATATAACCTATCCTCAAGCCGGCCTTTGATTTTCCTGAGAAAAGCCAGACTTCAGTTTCTCAGGAACATATTCTGGATGGGAATATAAACACAGCCAACCACGTGAGGGCTAAGAAAAGTGCCGGTGCTAGAAATAACGCTCCAAAGCACAGCTCTCGCTCTAAAACGTATTTGGGCATAGCAGCTGGTCGAGGGTTCTCAGTTGGGATCTAGAGACCCCTATGAGCCACGTTCCACAAATGGGTTCCTGGGAGCAAAACGCCACGGCTCATAATGCTCCCCTGGAACAGCAAGCATCTCCATTCTCAACATACCCAAGGGCCAAGTTTGAATCCAGTGGCGCCTTTAAGACAAAGTTTAATTCTGGGTATCAGCTTTCGTATGAGTGGGTGACAACGTGGCATGTGAAGTTCAGTGTTGGTAAGTGTAAGGCGGGGGAAGAGCCACATAGAATAAATGTCAGATGTCTGAGAGCCACAAGACATGAACATGAATTTTAAAATATGCAAATCTGCTTTTTGAATAACATTGAATGAGACTGCCAAAAATAAAAACAAAAGGGGTAAAAAAAGATATTGATGATTATATTTATTTGCTAATGATATTTATTAGAGAGAGAGAGAGAGAGAGGGGTGGAAAGAAAGAAGGAAAGAGGTGGAAAGAGAGAGAGAGAGAGAGAGAGAGAGACAAATAAAATAAATTTCTGATAATATTAAGGGATTTTAAAACAAACGAGGAATTAATTTAAGCACAGCACCTCTGCAGAAAAAAAGACAGATCTCATCTAAAGATGCTGTCACCTAACTGGATGTGCAATTATAACTTAAGATCCAAACCCTCCCTCCATCCTGTGGCCCACACAATTCCTCAGAATCCCCCCACCAGAAGCAGATTTTTAGGTGGTAAGAAAGTAAAGGAGAAGAAGAAGAAGAGATTGAATTTATAGCCCACCCTTCACAGAGGGTGATTTCTCAAGAGAGCTGCCTGGCAGCACAGCGCCCGTTTGCCTCGACACAAACGTGTCAATTTCACACCCGAAGCTCCAGGGCTGCATTTGACTCGGGGCTTTGCCCGATTTCCTCCGCAGTTTCATGATCCTCAAAAACCAGGATCACGAAACTGCGGAGGAAATCAGGTGAAGCCGCCCCGGAGCTTCGGGTGTGAAATTGACACGTTTGTGTCGAGGCAAACGGCGCTGTGCTGCGAGGCAGCTCTCGTGAGAAATCACCCTAGGTATCCACAAGCATCAGAGCTTTCCCTTGTACATATATATATTTCCTGCCTGTCTTTGTAAATAAATTCTTTAGTTGGTTTTACTGTTCCAGGTTGCACGTGCCTCAGTGTCTGACAGTATCTGACAAAGCTAAACAGTAAACTTCATCCTGTAAAAAGGCAGGGTTCATGAAAAGCCCCAGAGACAATGGCTGATTTCGCACTAGAGCTGCCTCGATGTTGCACCGCCGTTTGCCCCAATACTATTGGTCAATTTCACACTCGAAGCTGTGAGGCTGCATTTTGACTCGCGGCTTCGCCCGATTTCCCCCGCACGAAACTGCAGAGGAAATCGGGCGAAGCCGCGGGGCAAATGCAGCCCCGCGGCGTCAACGACTGGGCTCAGCCACTGGCGCCGCTGCTGAAGTGCTACAGAACGTTTACAAACATTCCAGCTGCTCAGAAGTCAGTCATTTCAAAGGGAGATGGTTCAGGTAAGTTAAATTCCCTTAAATCGTCTGATAAGCCTACCGAGAATATCCCCAGATCCAGTCAAAACCAAGATGGTACCTTTTGGAGGAGTCCAGTGATGAGTCCCATATGATGTCTGCAAGAGGAGGTACTCGATATTGTTCCCAACGGTGGCGGCAGAAGATGGCGGTGTCGACGCCTCACGCAGTTTCCTGAAGATAATCAGGCCACACGCTCTTACGGTCATGATTGTCCTACCTAGAACGAACACGAGTGAGTGATCTTAGGAGTCACAAACACAGTGGTGAGTTCCGGTAACTCTACCACAGGGATCCCCAACACCTTTCCTGGTGCCCTGCAAGTGTTTGTGGAAAGTGGGTGGGGCCAGATGAGGTTCCTGCCCAGCCAGGCTTTTGATTGGCCGCTTTAGCAGTTGCTACTACAGTGTTGGTTTTATACTACCAGAGTTTTCCAGTGTACCTGAGCCATTTTGGTATACTGGTTAAGTGCGCGGACTCTAATCTGGGAGAACCAGGCTTGATTCCCCATGCCTCCAATTGCAGCTGCTGGATGACCTTGGGCAAACCATAGTTCTGTCAGAGCTGTCCTTGAAAAAGAACCATTTCTGTCAGAGCTCTCTCAGCACCACCGACCTCACAGGGTGTCTGTTGTGGGGAGGGGAAGGGAAAGGAGTTTGTAAGCCGTTCTGAGACTCCGAGTGAAGGGTGGGGTATAAATCCAATTTCTTCTTCTGTTTTTAAAAGTTACTTCTCCTGTCCCCTGGACTTGGGCTTCCTCAGTATATATGTGTGTGTTTGAGGCGTGCCCTCGCATGTTAGCCTTTTTGTAGCTGGCGCCGCCTCCCACGGCAGCCATTTTATGGCTGTCCACCACCCTGGGCCAGAATTCCAAAGGACCCCTGCTCTCCCATGACACAAGGTGAAGCTGGGTGCTGTTAAAAGTTGTGGGATGGAGAGGCACAGTTCATCAGGAAGGGCTCCAGTGGGTAAGGGTCAAGCTAGTGCACTTCCTGGGTCTCATGTCAATTGACGGCTATGGGGTCTCTCGTCTTCAGTTTATTGCGATGACCCCTCTCAGCCATTGGCACAACTGCTGAAGCGCTACGGAATGTTTACCAACATTCGAATTGCTCAGAAGTTAATCATTCCATGTTCATTCATGTCTACCTTCACGGCAGCGGGGGAAGGATTTTGTTTTGTCTCTATCTGACTCCAGCTGGAACACAGAGGCAGCCTAGAGAGCCAGCGTGGTGTAGTGGTTGAAGACCGGGGGACTCTAACGTGGAGAACTGGGTTTGATTCCCCACTCCTCCTCCAAGTGAAACCTGCTGGGTGACCTTGGGCCAGTCACAGTTCTCTCCGAACTCTCTCAGCCCCATCTACTTCATAAGATTCCCGTTGTGGGGAGAGGAAGGGAAGGTGACCGTAAGCCGCTTTGAGACCAGTGTTCGCTCTAAGCTGAGTCACTGTGAGCTAGCTCGCAGTTTTTTAGCCTCCGGCTCACACATTTTGGTCTTCGCTCAGGAAGTACGGCTCCAGAGCAAACTAATTTATGCAGTAGCTAAATTGCTCGCTCACAACTTTAATGCCAGTAGCTCACAAAGTAGAATTTTTGCTCACAAGGCTCCGCAGCTTAGGGGGAGCATTGGTCTACATGTTCCCTTCTGGCATTTAGCGGGAATCTGACTTCCTCTTGGAGGCTTGAAGCATCCAAATTCCCAACTGAGTGGCTGCTGTTTGGAGCCAGGGGCTGGTTGCCTGGCACTCTGAAATCAGCAGCTGTAGCTTCTGAAATCAGCAGCTGTAGCTTCTTCTCATCATGCTCCTCTCCGATTGGCTGGTGCTGCAGAGTGTGACACGACGACCTCATAATCCACAATAAAGGCTTTGAGCAGCTAAGGCAGGCAGGCAGCTGTTGGGTCCAGTCATCCAAACTGGGTGTGTTCCAGGTTATGGTTTATTCCATTGCAGCTGCCGAAGGCAGAGATGGAGGCAGAAGTGGGCTCGGGTGAGCAGAGAAAAGCAGTGGGTTGGTTGGGCTACAGAGGACAACGGCAGCAGGAACAGGAAGGACGGGTGGGCCACCCTTGACCTAGGCTTCATTACTTCCCACTGAGTCAGTGGAATGAGATTATGCCGCTGGTTACAAGTGGATTGTGACTAGACGGCTGTACTGGGAAGGGGAGGAGCCCGGTTTGATGTTGAAATAAATGACCTTGATCAAAGAACTGCCCACTGACTTCTGTGCACCCCGCAGGGCTTCGTCCCTGTTTCTCAAAAGCTACTACACAGAGAACCACATTTAAAACTAAGGGGACTTTCAAAAGCAGTTTTTGCCACTGGAAAACAGGAGCTGAGGGCAGGAGAAAAGCCCAGCGGATCTCCCCGCAGGCAAGTGGCATAGAGAAAACAGCTGAAATCGAAGCTCAGGGACTCCTTTTATGGCAGCTGGTTTGCCTTTTCACATTTTACAAGGCCAGCGGCTCCAATCCAGGTCCAACCAGTCATGACAAAGTGACAGAACTACCTGTAGTTGTGGGTTTTCCCCCCAAAGAGGGACAGTTTTGCAGTTTCCCCACTGCTGCTGTGGTTGCAAATACAGCGCAGCCCAAAT